AGGAGAGGCCAAGGTAACACTTGGAGAAACTGAGGCCGGGACACGTTCCCAATCAACCCCATCAACATCTGGCAAGAGTCAGGCGAACAGACTCAGGGCTTGGGTGGAGCAGCTGCTGCAGAGGTTGGGGGGGCGGATTCCCGGGCCTCCCTCCTGCCCCCCGAACCCCAGCCCTAGCAGATCCACTGGTGGCAAGCCTCAGTGGGGACTGTGGTACCAAAGGGCTGGGGATTGGGGTAGGGGGAAAAGGCAAAGGTCTTCTGCAGGCAGTCCCCAGAGTCTCCCACCCAGAATCTCTATGGCCAGCGAAGGCTCAGATTGGGTACTCAGCGAACCACGAATAGATGAATCAAGAGGAGAAAGCCGTGCCCCAGCCCTACTCCCAGTAGGGTACTGGACACCCACCAAACATGCCCTGTACTGTCACACCACAGGCCTTAGTTCATGAGGCTTCTTGACCATGAGTTCCTCCCCTCCCTTCACCCATCCAAATCCTACTCACTCTTGAAGGCCTACTTCAAATGCCACCTCCTCCTTGAAGCCCTCCCAGATGCCCCATCAGAAAAGACAGCCTTCTTCTGTCAAAGTACTTGGCCTGGACAGATCTCATTTCTGGAAGGACGATGCTCTGCCTTGTTCTATTTTTTTTTTGCCTTGTTCTTTTGTGTCTGAATCCTCTGCTCACCCAGGAGCCACTTGAGGCCAAACCCTGAGTCTCAGGCACTCTCTTCCAACCATCCGAGGTCAGCCCTAGTCAGCTCGAATGACACCTCTTCCAAGAAGCCTTCTCTGAATCACCTGGGCTAAAGCAGATTCTCCTTTTGATTTCTATTGTTATACCCTATATTTTTCTTTTCACTCCTCACAGTTTGTAACTATTTACTTGTTCATTTACTTTATTTCCTCCATCTTCCTCTATCCACCCACCTGGACCAAAAACTCTGGGAGGGCAGCGAATGTGCCCTCCCGTTCACTTTGATGTTTCCTAGGATTGGCACATGCCTGGCTCATAGAAGGTACTCGACAAATACCTCTTAGAAGGCTAACTGGTGCACAGAGGATCCCAGGACATGCTGATTGAGGTGTTAACTGGGCCCCTCCCCTACCCTCCCCACTGTGCCCTGCACACAATAGGCTCCAGAGCAAGCTGGTCTGATTTAGCCCATAGTTTCAGAAACCACTGAGTGCATTAGAATAGCCAGTCCATCATTATTCACCATCGCCCACCCCTGGGATCGCTGCCACGCCCCAAGAGGACTCACCTACTTCTCCTCTGCCAAGTTTTCTCTAAACTTGTATTTCTTTGAGAAAGCAATAGATTATTTTCCCATCAAATTATGCTTCAATATTAAATGGATCTTTCCAAACCACACCCTCCCAGAGATTTTGCTAATGTCCCCTCCCACCCTTTAGGGTGGAGGCTCCCTGGGGTGGTGGTGGGCCTGGGCCTGTGGTCATTGCCTGGCCTTGAATCCTGCTTGGTCTGGCCAAGGATGTGTTAACACATCGTGTGTCTGAGCTAAGAGTCCTGTTAGAGAAGCATCAGGGCTGCTTGTTTAAAAAATGCTGATTCTTGGCGTCACCTCCGAGGCACAGAACCAGACTCGGGATGAGGTTTGCACCAGACCCAGGAATCTGCATTTTAATAAACTTGCCAATGGTTCTGGAGGGAGGCACAGAAAAGGTGGAGAATCCCTGAGCTGGAGATGGGAGAGCATTCTGCCGACCACTCGGATGTGAGCTGTAATTACCACTCCGACACGTCCCGGGCTGGCGGGGCCAGCGCCTCTGGGGCTTGGACTGAAGCAGCCCCACATCTGGGTGGCTGCACACAGGCCACGGCGGCAGCTGGTGTCCTTCTGGCTCCCCGAGCTCATTAATCACACCCTGACTGGCCTCCACTCACGCCCAGCAGCCGGCGGGGCTAGGCTGGGCCTGGTCTGGGGGTGGGGGGTAGGGGGGAGCCAGCCCTGGACACACCCTGCCCTGTATTACCTCGAGCCCCCAGTACTTGCAAGAAGCAGCCCAGACTCTGATCCTGTGACAGGAAACCTCTGCCATGGTCCCCCTGACCCTACCTCCTGGCGTTCACACCCCCATGTAATTCCCTCCCCGGGAGCAAGGACAGAATCGGGTGACTCACTTTTAATGAAGAGAACATGGGAGAGGTAATGAGACGTCCCTTCTGAAAACGAGAGGATCAAAAGATTGTGGCTTCTGTCTTGGGTACTCTCTCTTTCATACTCTGGGGAAGCCGTTGCACATGCGAGAGGCCCATGTGGGAGGGACTGAGGCCTGCCAACAACCATGTGTAGGAACTTGGAAGCAGATCCTTCCCTGGTCAAACCTCCAGATGCAACCTCAGGAGAGACCCTGAGCGAGAGGCACCCATCCATCAAGCCATCCATGCCTGATTCCTGACCCTAAGAAACTGTGAGATAATACGTGCTTTCTGTTTTAAGCTGCTAAATATGAGGGTAACTTGCTATGCAGCAAGAGATAACTAATACACCTCCTCATCTAGGCACCCCTCCAATCATGGTTCTTTTTCCCTCCCTCCTTGTGCCTTGAGCCACACCAAACAACTGACCAGTCCCTCTAATAAGCCACACTGATTCATGTCTCCAGGCCTTTGCTTATGCCAATCCAACCTCTAGAAGGCCTGGGCCACCCGGTCAATGCCTCCCTCTCCCAAGACTCAGCTCCGATGCCACCTCCTCTCAGAAGCCCTCCCTTTTTGGGGGCCCATCATGGCCTGGACCATTCCTATTAAAACAAATCTGACACATTCTCACTCTTGTTCATTTACAGTTGGTCTCCTGTGCTAGACCATGAGCTCCGAGAAGGCAAGGCCACAGCTGGATGCTTCCGTCTTACCTGGCGCTCAGCACAAGGTCTGACACCCAGAGGAGGGGCGGGGAAGGCTGGGTGAGTGAATAACTGGTGAACAGTGCGGGGCTGATTCTGTTCCCCACAGCCTGTCTCACCCCTGCCGTCTCCCAAGGTGGAGCATTTTCACACTTGAGTATAGAAGACCAGATGTGTTGTCTTCCCCAAGAAATCAGCCTTTTCTCCCCATCTCCCCATTTCTTCCCCAAGATCACCAAGGCTCTGTAAACTGGAATTTCTGGTTCCCTCTGAGTCCTCTCGCTGCTCCCTTTCTAACTTGTCTTCAGGTCTCATCGGTTCACTGCCAAAACACCCCCTGACTGTACCCCACCTCTTCCTCAGTACTGGGGATGCCCAGTCCAGGCGTCACCATCTCCTAAGATCACTGCAGCAGCTTCCCCAAAGGCCATTGCTCCTGTCTCTCACACACCCTCTTCTCCTCCCAGGGATCTTTAACATGCTTCCTCAGAGGGCTGGAGGGAGGCATTGCGGAGATGGTGGATGTGATAGAATTTCATAAAGGTGAGGATCACTGTAGCTTCCCCAGGCTCAATTTTAACTGGCTTTCAAGGCTCCTGGACTAGCATTTGGAGCACTCCAGGATTCAGTTCCAATCGGGAAGGCAAGAGGAACTGACACAAGCAGGCTTCAAGTCTCCTATACCATCACCATCAGCCACCACAGCGCCTGGCGCAGAGGATCTGTGCCATGCTGGGCTTCATATGTAGCATCTCATTAATTAACATTTATTAGGATTTTACTGTATACCAGAAACCATTATAAGTGTTTCGCATGTTTTGATGTCTTGAATCCTCACAACTATCTTATGAGAGAGGGTTTCACACTTGGTTCAAGATATCCAGCTGGTAACAGGCAGGGCTGGGATTTGAACTCAGCTCTGTCGACCTTTATAGGCTTCTCACCACCATGTACCTCTTGCAACCTCTCATATTTGTAAAGCACCTTGTGACTCTTGGCTGTCATCAAATACCACCTGTACTATTGTTTACTTAACATTTTTCCTTAAATTAACTTAAGGGGCACAGTGGTTAAAAGGGTGGTTTGGAATCACATGACCTGGTAAGCCCCCAGGTCACCGTCACCTACTCACTGTATGAACTCTCTGAGGTGCGACTTCTTCCTAAAAGATGGCATGGTCCTTCACAGGGCTCTTGTGAGGATTAAAAGAGTTAGACACACAAAGTGCTCGGCACACAGTAAAAACAGCTTGCAGTGGGGCTGCACTTTCCCATCTCTCTGAATTGGAAGTAATCACATTACCTGCCTTGGCCACTGAAATGTGCATAGGCATGACATATGAGCCATTCTGGGGGGTGGGGGATGCTTTAGAGCCCATATACAATCTGTCACACTTGCTCCTTCCTTCTGCCTGGTGATCACAACATTCCAGAGGGGCTCCTCCACCTGCTTGGCTCCCAGAGGGAGGAATCCCAAGCTGACTCATGATGGACATGCGGCATTAAGTGCAAAATAAAACATTTATTGTTTTGTTACTTCAGCATGGCTTGGCCTATACTGACTGATACAGCAGAAGCTCAATGAATGTGATCTTATCAATATCATTTATGAGGACTCACACATTTTCCCAAGCTGACTCGTGATGGACATGTAGCATTAAGTGCAATATAAACTTTTACTGTTTTGTCACTTCAGCATGGCTTGGCCTATACTGACTGACACAACAAAAGTCCAACGAATATTATCTTATCGATGTTATTTACGGCGTACACATTTTCTTAAAAAGGAAACCACGTCACTTTTGTGAATGAAGAAACAGAGTACCACTTGCTATCCTTAATATTCACATAATAGTTAAAAGGAGAAACATTTATCCTCATACCAACGAAAATCCGCAGGCACACCCCCTGCAGTATCTGCACACACCACCATTCATGAAGCACTGCTCATCGCCTCCCTCCAAGAAGCTGAACCATGGCTACAGATCTGGAAATTCTGGCTGGAGAAGGCCTCCCAGTTAGCTCCAGGCCCCTGCCCAGACCAGCCTGCCCTCCCAGCGGCCAGGCTCAAGGCTGCAGCTGACACCAATGCCACGCACTTGCAGGGGGCACCCTTCCCGCCGCGGCCCTTACCTCGGCAGACCGTGCCGTTCTCCACGGCCTCGAAGCCCGCCTTGCACATGCAGCGCCCAATGGGCACCAGCCACTCGCCGTCCCCGTTGCAGTACAGCTTGATGGGCACGTCCACCTCCTCCGCGTTGGCGATGCAGCTGCCCCGGGCGGCCACCAGCGATGTGCTCTCCGCCCCCGACAGCGTCTCCTGGAAGACGGCGCCATTCTGGATGATGCGGGGGCACTTGCGGTAGAAGACGCGCACGGCAATGAGGGACATGCAGCCGCCGTAGTCCTGGAAGGCCAGGTAGAAGCCGCTGCGGGACACGGGCCCGAAACTCCGCACCTCAGTGTTGATCTTCATGACCCGGCCCCCCAGGTCCACCTGGGAGAAGCTCTCGTCGGCGGCAATGGTGTCCACCTTCACCCACGGGTTCTCCATCCAGGTGGGGAAGGTCTTGGTGGCCGAGTCGAAGTCAGCCTCGTAATAATAGAGGTTGAAGGTCTCCTTGCAGGAGCCGGGCACGCTGGGGATGCTACTGCAGTCACGCACGGAGAACTTCATCTCCACGTGGATGCGATGGGCGCCCCGGCGCCGGATGAACTTGGTCCGTAGCCAGTTGTTCTGGCTTGACTCAAACACATTGCACACTTGGTACGTGCGGATCGTGTTCATGTTCTCATCGTAGCCGCTCACCTCTTCCCACTGCGGGTGAAATGCCAGTCAGGTGGGGCAGGTAGGGGCTGAGCCCCAGGGAGCATCCTAAGCAGTGGGGGCACAGACTCTTCCTTAGGGAATCCTCCAGCTGAGAAGGCAGCAGGCAGGACACCTACCGTCATGGGCCTCCTCCTCTCACAGGGGGCAGGCACAGACTCTACCTAAGGGATCTTCCAGTTTGATGATGCAGACACAATACCTACCATCAGAGAAACCCCAAACTGAGCGGGAGATTTGGCTCTGGCCCTGAGGAATTCCCCGCTCTCTGCACACGCCCTGCTCTTGGTGGTATTCCCCTAATCCACACGGGAGATGTGACCCTTACCCCCCAGGGATAACTAATCTGAGGAAGTCACGCCCCCACTGCCCTCCACCCACCGTTCCTGGGAAGCTGCCCATGGAATGGAAACCAGGGAGAGGCTCACCGGGTCTGAAAGCACTCGAAGGATGTGCTCGAGGAGCGCCCAGTCTGATGGAGGAGACAGGGCTGCCGTCTGCCTGGGGCTCCCTGTCTGACCGGGCAGACACAGCCCTTGCCCTTGGGGACCCTCAGTCCAATGGACGATGAGCCCTCACCGCCATGACAGAAACACGAGGCCTTACCCTGCGAGAGTAGCTAATACGGAGAGTGGAGGGAGACCTCCCCACCTTCCTGCCTGGGGTCAGTGCACCTCACCAGGCCCCGGCCTGGGCGCTCACCCACCCAGCTGTGAGCTCCCCACTCCCACTGCTGCAGGGGGCTTGGCAGGGCCGTGGAAAGCTGGGAACGGAACGGCACAGACTGTGTTCCACGCACAGACGCTCAAGAGCCAGGCTCACTCGCAGCCTGAGCCTTTGCTCACCCTTTCACGCCCCCTCGGGCTCCTCTCACTTCTCTATCCAGCCTTCCGAACCTCCTGTAGCAGAGTCTCCCTCCAGCGCCGTGTCCAGGTTCACCAATTCTCCCTTGGGCTTTGGGGACAACCTGCCTGAAGGAGTGCCAGGCACGCCCAACCCCTCTTGGTCTGGTCTCCCCCGGGGGCCCGAGGGCATGCTGGGATCAGCTCCCCGATCCCTCCTTCTGTGCCCCTCTTTGGTGCTGGGCTGACTTCACCTGGGGCAGGCCCAAAGAAGGGCCCCAACAAACAGGGTGAGCCCACGCTGTAATAGGATCTCATTTCTTTGTCATGATTTTCACATGTGGGAAGCATGGTTATCCCCATTTTACAGATCAGTAAGTAGAGACCAGAGAAGTGCAGTCACACACTGGCACTTGACCCCAGGCCACACATACCCAGACTCAGACCCATACCCAAGCTTGTCCACCCTACCTCGAAACACAAGGACCCAGCAGTGGGCTTTGTCCCAGCTCTGTTAACTTGATGTGTGACCTTAGGCAAGTCACTGGCCCCCTCTGGGCCTCTATTTCCCCAACTGCCAGAAGCGACTGTCGGGGGGAGGGTGAGCAGTCGGAGAGGTGTCACCCTCGCGTGGGTGCTCTTTGTCTCTCTGCCTCCCTCAGATTCTCCGGGCCCAGCCTGCATGGGGCGGGGCAGCGGCTGTGGATGCTGTGAAGGGCGGGTGTGTGTGAGCAAGGCTGAGTGGCCCAGCCTCTGCTTCAATGGCGGCTTGAAGCTCCCTATGTTGCATTTAATTTTTTTTTTTTGGTGGCACCATGTGACAAAGTCAGCCCCTTGTTACAATCACTGCTCTTCTTCAGAACTTAATTAGAGCACTTAATTAGAGCACTCTGCCTTTCTCCCCTCTCTCTAATTAACATGCGGAGGCCCTGCAGCCTAAACACCCCAAATAATTGCGTCCGGGGGCCCTGCAGCCTAGCCTGGCCTCATTACTGGCAGGGTGGGGCTGTGGGCCCAGCCGCCTTCGCAGATGGAAAATTGGTGACAAGAAAGAGCCACAGAAAGAGGCCTGACCCTGGGGCCCTGCCTATTGAGAGCACAGGCCTGAGGGGGGTATTGGAGGACGCAGTTCCTTGGGGTAGCAGCTGAGTCCCCATGGAGGAGCTGGGATGGGGGGAGGGGCAGGGGTGGGCTGGGGGAGCCCCAAGCCCCCGCCAGAGACCAGGGGGGTGAGGAGGGAGCGATATCAGAAAGGATGCCGATGAGGATGACAACGGCGACAGTTCCCATAGCCACTTGTCACTGGGAGCCCACTCTGCGTGAGGCATGCTATGCTGGATACTTTGCAGAAAAACCTCACAACAGTTCTACGAGGAAGACATGATCACCACCATTTGATAGATGAGGAAACTAAAGCTCAGACAGGTTAAGGAACTGGCCCCCAGATCACACAGCTGCTAAGTGGCCGAATTGGAATGGCTTCCCTGGTGGCTCAGGCGGTTAAAGCAAGGTGGGAGAGCTGGGTTCCATCCCTGGAGAAGATCTCCTGGAGAAGGAAATGGCAACCCACTCCAGTACTCTTGCCTGGAGCATCCCATGGACAGAGGAGCCTGGTGGACTACAGTCCATGGGGTTGCAGAGAGTCAGACACGACTGAGCGACTTTTCTTCCTATCTTCAGGGGTCTCACTCCACAGACTATAGGTAACTGCTGGGCTGGTTGTTGTGAGAAGAAAGAGGAATCTCAAACTGTACCGGAATTTTTTGGTGGGCGTGGCGTGGGGCGGGTATGTGGGATCTTAGGTCCTGGACCAGGGACCGAACCTGTGTCCTGTGTGGTGGGAGCACAGTCTTAACCACTGGACCACCAGGGAAGTCCCTGGGCCTGAGTGTGTTCCTGGGAAGCTCATAGCCTACGTGGGCTCAGACCACCAGACCCAAGTGTGATGGTAGGAGCTCAGGAAGATGGAATCTAGTGTGGTAGGGACCCAAGGACTAGGTCACCGCCTTGGTTACAAACCTGAGCCCTCATTACTTACTAGCTGTGGGGTCCCCGGCAGGTGGCTATAGCTCTCTGAGCTTCAGTTTCCTCATCTGTAAAATGGAGGTGATTCCTTCCCATAGGACTGGAGATGATGTGTGTAAAGGTGATTTGATACAGTATGACACCCAGTGCATGCTCAGGAACTGACAATTCACTTTCCCTGTCTGTAAAACAGTGGTTGTGAGTACCCACTTCTCAACCTCACTCTTAGAATTCTATAGGACAAGAGCTAAAAGCATCCAGACTGTTGTCACGGTAACTGGTACTGGATCAATGGTAGGAGACCACTAGGGTGGGGCAATGAGAGCCCAGGTCCTGGGATCTGAAGGAGTGGACGGGGCTCGAATGGGGTAGGGTAAGGCATCCAGGCCCTGCAGCAGAACCAGAGGCATCCTGCAGACCAGGCCGGGTTTGAGGACCACCGACTTACCCCCGACGGAGGATGCACAATCCAGCCCAGCTCCGCCGTCGCCGTGGTTGAGTCCATCAGCGTTTCTGTGGAGAGAGCAGAGTTACTGCTGAGCCGCCTGTGAAGCAAGGTCAGTCACCAAGAACTTCCCTCTTGAGGGCCGTCCGTACAGAGCAGCCACCGACTTCCCTTACTTCAGTCACTGGGTCTGAACCTGTAGACTACCCTCCCTTCAGGTCCTGCCTCTCACTCCATGATCCCGCCCACTCCCACACTCCAGCCAATCATCTGAGTCTATTCTTCTAGACTCCACCCCTTAAATCCAACTCCAGCCCTTAAACACCTGGTCATGCCCCACCCTCTCAGCCAACCACAGCCCTCCAACCTAGATATCACCATCCCCCCCCACCCCGCTTTGCTCCTTTACTGGGGAAGGGTCTTAACCTGGGGTCTCCTGGATGGGCTTGAGAGAGTCCTCAAGAAACTTCAAATTTTTCCTTCAAAATGAGGGTCCTATTTGCTTTTCCGCATGCATCAAATTCTCACCAACTGGAACGTTGGCCTTACAGAGGCCTCCCTTGGGCCCCAGCCAAGCTGCCTCAGTTATCCCCATTTTGCCATCTGCCCCACGCCTCCCATCAGGGATACCTTTCCCCTTTCTCCAGGAAATGGGAGTTCTCCATCGTGTCCTCATCCCTGGGCCCCCTCCCCCAGGCTCAGCCAACTCTATCCCAAGGACAGGGCCCTGGGGATGGAGGGGTGGCAGGGGTGAACACCGTGTCCATGGGGCCAGCCCATCACCTGCCCTTTGGGGGTTCAGAAAACTCAGATCAGCTTCTGAACAAGCTGAGCCCTACTTGCTTCCCGTTATTCTAGCTGGAGGAGAGGAACCATACAGTCAGTGACAAAGGAGACCCACAGGGCCAGAAAGATCTCCATTCACTCCCAGATCGGGCTCAGCACCCCTCCCCTCTCCCCTGTTTCCTGCCACAGGGGATTCAAAATGCTTTTTGAACTGAACTGTGATGCAGTGAGTAGATTTAAATTGCTCGGGCACTCAATCCACAGATATATCCTGATGTACATTATGTACCCAAGCACTGTACCGGGTACCCTGAGGGTGACTAGCAAAGCCCTTCTAAGGGAGCAGTTCACAGTCTGGTGGCAGAGATGGGGTGTGAATACAAAGAGTTGTCAGAGGGCAGGCGGAGAGACCTAGGGGATCACAGCTGGAACTTCTACCACCCCTAGGTGAGTGAGAGTGAGTGAGAGGCAATGCTTGCTGCGAAGCTCCCATCCTGTGCCCAGCACAGACATCACTAATCAATTCCCACACTCTGTGACCACACAGGGCTTCTCACCACAGTGCTCCAGGAAACCACCACCCACCATCTGAGATCCTATCTCTGGTCTAGTCCAACAGCCTCATTTTGGTAATAGGGCAACTGAGGCACAGAGAGGGGAAGAGGCTTCCTAAAGATCACCCAGGAGTTGGTGGCACAGTGGGAGGTGAGGGTCTCCTGCCTCCCACCCTGTAAACTTCTAGACACTTCATTTGATGGCCCGGGCTGGATGAACTAGGGCAAGGAGAGTGCGGGCAGGGGGAAGCGTTCAGGTCACTGTCAAGGTCGAAATGGGAGGAACAAGGTCTTGAACCAGGCAGGGGCCGTACGGATGGGAGGGTGGGAAAGAAGGAAGCATTGAGCCAGAGGTGACCTCAGGCAGACCCGTGGGCTGACAAGAGAGGATGCGGCAGTGTCCCCATGACCGCCTGTGGCTCGTGTTTGCGGTCACTGTGTCCCTCTGCACTGGGGGCTGGCGAGGCGGGGGGAGGAGGGTGCCAGGGACGGTGGAGTCCAGTGCCAAGGGCATCCTTTTGATGGCAAATTGGAGGGAAGTTCTATTGTGCTGCTTTGGAGCTGAAAAAAGGGTTCCTTTTCACACTCCGAATGCTACAGATTTTTCTTCCTGGAGAGAACAAGGGCTGAACTTTTAACCTGTTTTCTCTCATCAGCCTCAGCCAGAGACGCGCCAAGCCGGGCTCTCTGCCTGGGCCCGAGGAACAGCTGCTGGGAGCTGTGTGCAACAAGGGAGAGGGGAGACTGTGCTTGGGACCAGAGAGGGGTCAGGGGCTGGGGTGGGGGGGGAGGCAAACCCGCCAAGCAGGTGGCCCCACCCCTTGGCTGGATTCTTGGGCTGACCCAGGGGCCAAGTGCTAGAGGATTCCACAGCCCAACGGACGTCCTCCACGCCCAGGTGGAAACTTGGGCCCAGGGAGGTGCGAAGGACTGGCCAGAAGTCACACGCTAAAAGCTGGTCCTCAAACTCTGGGCTCCCAGGGAGCTCAGGTTTGGGGGTCCCACTGTTCTCCTCCTCTGCCTCCCACCACAATTGGAGCCAGCAAGGGGAGGACCTCAGAAGGACAGGAAGTCAATGGCTGCTTGGTCACAGACTGGAAGGGGCTAAGAGGAGGGGCCAGCCTGCAGGTCCGCTGGGGAGGACGCAGAAGGCGGCCCCTAGGCTCCTTTCTCGCCAAGCTGGTCCTGGGCTCTGCCTGGAAGGCTGTCTCTGGGAAGGCTGTTACCTGCTGGAGTCACAGCAGGAGGGAACCCCAGGGTGCTTTCCCCACAACTTCCCCTTGGCCTTTTGCCTTTCTGCATCCACATCTTCCTCCACTCTCTGCAAAAAAGGCAGGTAAGCAGAGCAGATGCATTGGGATTGGGAGATCAGGCTTCAATTTCAATACCTTTCCTGCCACCTTGGACTTGCAACCTTTCTAAGCTTCAGTCTCCTCATCTAGACAAAGGCCATAATACCTTGTGGAGGTGAACAGGAGAGCTAAGTGAGCCAGGAGGGTTCTGAGCTTGCAGCCCAGCTCAAACAGATCATCAGTAAGTGGCAGCTATTCTCTTTTCAGATCCAGTGTGGTGCATTTTGGCTGACCCTGTGCTGGCGTACACACATCGTTTCCTTTGGGCTCATCAGGTGGACCCTGCAAGTGAAGGCGAGTCCAAGCAGCTCCCCCCACACCCCAGACCACGCCTGCCAACATCTGATGGACATCAGCCTCTCGTTCAAGGGCTGAGGCCTCCAGGGAGCCACTCCTGGTCCGTCTGATGCCGCTTTCCTGGAATGCCCTGGTTTCCTCTTTGTTCCTCTTAACCAAGTACTGAAGTTCAAGCTCAGTTTCCCTGGGAACCTGGCTGGGTTCAGAAAGCCATGCCCTATTTCCATCGCCAGCACTTCCCTCCCCAGACCTTGCCCCTCTGTTCTCAAAAATCTACAGAGGGAGAGAACTCATGTTCACTGAGACCAGAGAGCCTGTCTATTAGGAGCCAGAAACCCTCACCAACATTCTCACAGTGATGCCAAGAGATAACGGATACTGTTCCATTTCACAGATGGGAAAACTGAGGTTTACAAAGGCTTAGGGACTTGCTCAAGGTCTCATAACTATTTACAAGCTGTGCTCCAGCTACACAGACTGTTTGGTACTCTCTCTTGCACACTGTTTCTCCTGATCTCTTCCCCTTCCACCCCATCTGTAATTTACTTACCCCAAGACCCAGCAGAGGGCTTTGCACTTAGTAGGTCTTCAGTCAAAGGCCGAATTCCCCTTCCCTCCCCTAAAACTGTAGGGCTTGAACATGCTAGTGTTCTGCTCCTTCACGACAATATCCATGACTTTGGCTGTTTCCACCTACAGCCTGTACTATCATATAATTACAAAATTTCTTCCGACTCTTTTTTTTTTTCCTTAAGTGCATTTTAAAGAGGAAAAGGTTATCATTATTACAAATGGGAAACCAATATCACTTGCCATAAAAGGAAGGAAAACAAGCATAAGACAATTACCATTAAAAAAGTTTGTCTGCAAACTACCTAATATCATCTCACTCCCCACACTTTGGGGACCACTAGACTCCACCAAGCTGCCTCTTAGTTGCTTGAAATGTGCTCCCCACTCCTCCCCCCACCACTCCCCCCGACTGTGACAATGACAATCCCACGTGCAGGGGAAGCCACTTTCACCGTACACAGATAATTAATCACCACATGACGTGACAAAACCCTAACAGGAATGTGTGTGAGGTTTGGTATGTGATGGCAACTGGGTACAGCAGGAGAGGAAGAAAACAAACAATCCAGCGGCTGCTTCCTGGAGGAAGTGACACAGATAAAGGGCTTGAAGGATGAATTAGGAGAGAGTCATGAGAGGCTAAGTGGGAAAGCGTGCCAGGCTGAGCTGGGGAGTGGGAGCAGGGGCTGCCCAGTAAAGGTCAGTGACTGTCCGAGGCCCCCTTACTGGACCACACCCATCTGCCCACATCTTTCCCAGCCCCCCTGGTACCACCCACCCCCGCCCTGCCTAATACTGCCCTTTCACTCGACTCTGGGCCCTCCCAACCTTCCAGTTAGCCCTGGAAATGCCCAGATCTCATCCCTTGGATGTTCAAAATGACTAAAAAAAAAAAAAAAAAAAAAATCCCAGTGGAAAGATGGGGAAACTGAGAGTACGTGGACAAGATTTTCAGCACCTAGCCACCAGCCTGGAGTGCCTTACCTGATGGGGAAAACAGGGTCTGGACCCTGGGAGTGGCTCTGGCCCTCACCCCGCTGCTCCCACCCCCGCCCCCCCCTGCTTCCTGGAGACTGCACACAAGAAAGCAATCAGGAGGCCCTGATCGCACAGGCTGGGGAGGCCCGAAGACCCCTCTGGCTATGTGTGAATGAGAAGTGCACATTTCAGGAATATTTGCGCTAAAAAGGACACACACTGAAGTCGTTAGCGTTGGGCCGATGGGAGAGTGGCTGCGCGGGGCCCTGTTTCCAGGCTGGAGCAGGGTGGGGGGTGTCACCCTCTGCTCCCCGACCCAGCCCCCCGGTCAGCTCCATCTGACCCCTTCTTGGATCAGACTTCTCTAGGGCCACAGACACTGTCTGCACAAGTGACAGTAGGTGAGAGTTCCAAAGACTCGAGGAGAAGCATTTATTAAGTGCCTACTGTGTGCTAGGCATGGAGTTGGGTCTCTACGCATGGCCTCAGGCCTCTGGCAACCTGTGGGGTACATTAGCCCCACTTTAC